TTTTAAATTTAAAAATTGTGAAAATATTAAATGGTTGGGGTCACTAGTGTGTGTTTCTTTTAAGGTATATATTTTGCAAATGAGCATAGTTTCGTTTTTCTGCAAAAATAAGATAAAATGTCTCATTAAAAATTAGGAGGCATCTCAATTGTCTAAAAAACAAAAAAACTATTTTTAATAAAAGTGTAAAAATTTTAGAGAAGCTGAAAGGACAGATGTTGTAATATAATTAAAATAGCCTATAAAAATAGCATGCTTCTAGAAGAAAAGACACCACATCAGAGGGAAAGGGTTAGAGCCTTATCCATTATAAATCCAAAGATATTTTACTAAATTACAGTCGGTGCTCTTTTCTCTCTTGAATCATCAATACCCAACAGCTTGTTTTTCTAAAAGCACGCCACATATTTTCTACATTTTTGGAACACTTTTTTTGGAGTTTTATCTTTCCCAGAATTTCCTATTGATTTTCATTTTACTTATTAGCAGAAGACACATGTCGCCAGCTCATGAAGAATTTCCAGAACCTAGTCATGTAATTTGTGTAAAGTTTCTAACTTTTCTCAAAAACCTCAAACTTATTCTAAGTTGGACCAATTTCTTACAAATTCACTGCATTTGCTGTTATTTTGGAATTTTATGTGTTATATTCCTGGATAACTTCCACTAATTCCTGAAGTCCAATTGTTATCTTTCTCAAATTGTTTTGGTAGAGTGCATCTTGAAATCCTTTTTCCAAAATTTTGAAGTCCCAGCTTTATAATCTCCTACCATTCAGTATTGCTAATATGAAGTCTAAATAGACTTTTACATGGTCATTGCTGCATTTATTAATAAAACATATTGTTTTTCTGGAAGCGTTTGAACTTTCTCAGTCTTTGGAGGCCTGTAACGTCACTATCACGTGGCTGAGCAGCGCGGAGGGAAGGACGAGTGCTGTGAGGCTTTTCCCCACATTGTTTGGATTCGTCGCTGTTATTTAATTTCTCGAGTTGCTCCTGTCTGTTAGTTTGACTTCTAAAAATTAGGAAATTCCTCTTATATTTACTCTTCTCTATTGATTTTACTTTCTCCTTCTGAAATTCTTACCAGCCTCATATTGCATCCTCTATGCTTGGCCTCCATTTCTCTTGTCTGTTCTGCTTCTCTGTATCTTTGTCTCTCCTCTGTAACAGATTTTTCAGCCCTTCTATTGAATGTGACTCTTCAGCAATTGCTTATTAATTTTTAGGAGCATTATCTTGTTATATAAGAGATACATACAAATTACGTACATACAGACACATGTAGATGTGTATATATATGAGTGTATGTATGTATGCAGATATATGGCAGCTTTTTCTTGTTCGTAGACACAATATCCTCTCAAACCTCTCTTATGGGAGTCGTTAAAACCAGTTGAAAGGTGCAGCGCTGAGCAGTGAGGAGTCTCTCTATCCTTCATTGAAAAATTAGTCATGTATGTAAAGTAGTAGCAAATTAAGATGTCAAACTGCCATGTCTTGTAGAAAAAGTCTTAGAATATGCACCTATAAAGGCAAGAGTTTAGAGGTCTATTTAGAAGAATGTCAAGCTCTAACGAGATTGGTGAATTCCTTGAAACCTTCACAAAGGCATACTAGAAAACGATAAGCTTTAGCCCAAGCTGTTACATTTGAAACCAAAAGTTATGGAGAACATAGTCTTGTTCAGAGAGCCAGCATCTAAATAGCTAGACCGAGTATCAGATCATTTTGAGGTGTGCAAATGATGCGTTCTTTGCCCTACATTAAAGTTAGTGTAAGCCAAGTCACAGTGATAAAAAGCACAGCAGGAGATAAGACTGAGAAAGAGAAGAGCCAGTGAAGTGGGAAAAGGGACCCTCACTCAGGCACTTCCCAGGTTCTTCCTGTTGGATTCCTTAATCAGGTTCTGCTGGGCACCACCTGCCTAAGAAAGTAAACAACATCAATATGAAGACTCAAGTCTTGGTACAGAGCTTAGAGCCAAATCGCCCCATTGCCCCATCGTCTCATTGCCCCAGCTCTCTGTGTAACAAGCAGAAGCTAAGGATCATGCGATAAGCAAAGAGCCAAGGCTCATGCTGGAGACTTTTTAGGTGATGACTGCATTTAAGAACCATATTTGAACAGAACTATGGTATTGGTTATTAGCCATTGGCCTATGGAATCAAAGAATACAAACAAAGCATGAGCCTACTGAGGTTGTTATAAGAAGTGTGGCACCAATGAAACCCCAAAGCTAAAATCCAGGGCCAATATTTGCTAAACCCTCAACAGATGCTCTGACCAAAGGAGAGGTAAGCTATACCATGGTTATGATTTCAAAGGAGCTTATTATTTTATAAATTGCTTAAATGCATACAAATATTATACTTCTCTGCAGATTTTGTTAGTTAATTACTATGTTCCAATTAATTTAGAAATATAAATGCAGATAATAAAAAGGAAACAAGTTAGAAACACCTAGTCTGATCCTATGTCTCACAGATGAGGGTGCTAAGGTTCATTTGATTATGTCCTCTGCCAGACATCCTATAGTTCTAAGTAGTTGCATATTGAGCTCTCAAAATCTGCTTTTTCAATTTCCAATGTAGTTTTAACCATGCTATTTCCAACAAATCCTTGATTCATTCCCTCCTTACCTATATGGACTAATGCATAAAGAGCATAAGAATGACTTTGTGATCTTGTTCCAGCACAGATTCCATTCAGTAAGTCCAGAGTAGGGTCTGAGAATCTGCATTTTTAAGCAGCCCTCAGCTGCTGTTGCTGCTGTGGGTCCCTGGACCACATGTTAAGTAGCAAAGCTGTGAAACATTCAGTCTTCTTGCATTTACACAGACACCTTATGTAGACATTTAGAAAGTCATTTTAACTCTGACCTCTAGGGCAACCTTTACTATATTTATAATGTAAGCATAAGCAAGTTTTTAAATATTCTTGATTTTCATAGTTTTGCATAATTATCAAGAAACAACATTTTAGGAATTCCTTTGTGTTTTTTTCTTTGAAGAAAAGACTGCTTTCACTTACAAGTAGGCATCTGTCATGTGAAAATATTTAGAATGTTTACTATGAAAATTTAATCCATATGTTTTTGTTCCTTTGCAGCAACTAGCAAATTACCCTCACAGTGTGTGTGTAGAATAAATGAAAGTTCAGTGAATGCATCGCTCAACTTCTCAAGACTTCAGCTTCTTCATTGGGTAAAATCAAGACTCTTAACCCTGGCCTACAAAGACATGTAGCATAACAAAAGGAGGGAAAGTCTGGAAGCCAGAAACTTAGGTTGGAGTTCTACCAAGCAATCTTGCTGAAAAAGCAAACTCTGTGTCTCCAAACGGGTATCTGGAAAGTACAGATTTCATAGCATTTTGAATATTAAATGAGATAAGAACTATGTCAATGTGTTGTAAAACTGAAAGTATCACACAAATGCTTATTATACTGCTGCTCCTCCTACAAGTAATACTACTATGGCACTATTGTTACTTCCATTTCGTAGCAATTAAACAGCTTTCATTATGTCTGGTTTCTTAGACCATTCAACACAGTAGCATTATCGTTGAGAGAAGATATTTTCTAAAGTCATGTTTCTATATCATTATAGAATGGACCAAAAAACTGAGTTCACTGAATGAAGTCAATCTCAATTTATATTTAGGATATCTTACTGGTGATATCAATATCTAAAATTACAATTTAAAGAATCAAAGTATAACATGTTAATTCCAACTATTTATTTTTATTACTTATTTAGCTTTGCACAAGTCTTAACATTTGGAAAGAAAGAAGAGCGTATCTTACTTTGCTTTTAATCCATATTGATACAAAACAGAGAGAGAAGCCTGGTTTATTCAGAATATTAGATGTCACAGAGACCTAATTACAGTTGATTTAAACAGCATTAATAAGTTATTTTCAAATATAAATCAACTTTATCATGTATGTTATAATACAGTTGTTACTAATCTCCAGGAAATGTGATTTTTCTGATTATGATTGTATGGTGTATAATTTTTCTTAATTAAATACATAATATTTAAAACTAGAAGAATAATTTTGGAAATAACTAAAGTAATACTTCTGAAATGAAACATTAATTATTTGCTTCTATGTTTACAAATTTTCATAGGAAGTTTCTGTTTTAACGTTTAGATTTATTCTAAGAAGAACTCAAAAATATAACATGCATTTGAAACCCCCACATTTGCATCGTCTGCCTCTTTAGAATCATTCCGTAAGCTGGAAACATTTTTCAGTTCTCCATCTCTTGTATAACCTTCTCCTTAACATGTTACATCATTATACTTCTTTAAGTTTATGTGATAGGATTTGCACATGCGGGCAAACTTTTGTTAAAAGTTGTGGCTAAATAAATAATTCATGAGGTCATAACTGGTAAACTGGTAAACACTACTTTCTCATACACCAAATATGGGAAGCCATGTTCCAATAATTGTATGTTCCTGAATTTGCTTTCCTTCACTGAGAAGAGTTAAAATAAAAAAGCAGGCATAGGTCTATGGAAAAGACAATAGCAGAGTGTTGCATACTTTGGGATAATGATATTAAGAAAATGATGGAACTTCTCCCAGTGATGTTCTGACACACAATGACATTTTTATTTTTTATTTTTTTATTTTTGAGGAAGATCAGCCCTGAGCTAACATCCACCACCAATCCTCCTCTTTTTGCTGAGGAAGACTGGCCCTGAGCTAACATCCGCACCAATCTTTCTCTACTTTATATGTGGGATGCCTGCCACAGCATGGCTTGATAAGTGGTGTGTAGGTCCACGCCCATGATCCAAACCAGTGAACCCCAGACTGCCGAAGTGGAACGTGCAAACTTAACCACTGCGCCACCAGGCCAGCCTTAAATTTTAATTTTTAAAGCACTTATGACTAGTTAAAGTTGCAATTGTTAGTACTTTTTTAACTGTTTCTTTCAGTTTTCATCCCTTTTGAGTTGCCCTTCGACTCTAAAGGTTTGTACCTTCAGGAGGAGTAAAACATTGTGCAGGTCACAGTATCCCAGACAGTGAAGTCCGTGCTACAGCAGTTCTTGACTCAAGCTCATCAACACTGTACAAAAAGTGCTCAAGGGTTATTTCTGTGAAATGTGCTACAGGCACATGTAGTCCAACTAATGCTATTGCAATTTAACTCAGAGAAAAATATTTCAGAACAAGGGTTATTGACTCAGTTAGCAAACATACATTCATTCAGTTAAACAGTGTGAAAGTCATTCATAGGAAAGTTAGGCCTGGAACTAAGTTTAGAAGTAGACACAAGTAAGGGCTGAAATTCTGTGCATAATAGATGAGTAAGAATTGAAAGGAAGAGTTAGGCGAATAGAGTAGAGTTGAAATGGGCAGAAAAGAGCCATCAAGATGGTAATAGTAGTCAGGCCTGTATCTATTAATAAAGCCAATGAGAAGTTCCCCCATATTAAGTAGCCAAAATGATATTAACAACAAAGATTCTAGTACGTGATTTTAAGTTTACTTGTTTGTTTTTTCCTGGTGAATTATGTGTACACTCCCTTTCCCTGAGAAGAAATAGAAGTTCTATACAATAAATAAAGTTCTAGTACATGCAAAGATTCATTTTTATAGTTATTTGGTCAAGTAAAGAGTGGATAGGCAGAATATAAGCCATAAAGTAAAAATTCCAAGATAGTAGCAAAGAACAAGAATTTAGTGGAAGTGGAAAATAAAAACCAAAGGTGACTATGATAAAGAGAGCCCTTAAAAAGTCCATGGGATGCTCCACAGGGAGATCAGAATTCACGGTAAATTTATGTGGAACCGAAGTGTGTGATTTGCTTAACTGAATTTTGAGTCCAAATCAAGCTTTAAATTTTGAGAAATATAAAGTTCCTCCAAGAATTAGTTCAACCCTTTATTATGACAGAGAAATAAGAATCTCCAAAAATAAATCCTCTCCAACATTGTTTGGGGGCTGAAGCCAAACAAAGAAACAGACAACATCCAGATTGCAAGGGAAGAAGGAAAACTGTCTTTATTTGCCAAAAACATCATCCTGTATATAGAAATCCCAAGGAATTCACAATAAACTACTAGAACTAATAAACAAGGTTAGCAAGAATACAGGATACAAGATCAACATCAAAATCAATTTTATTTCTATATTCCAGCAATGAACAATCAGAAAATGAAATTAATAAACAATTCCATTAACAATAGCATCAATAAGAATAAAACATGTAGAAATCAATTCAACAGGAAATGGGTAAAAATTGTACACTGGGAACTACAAAATGTTGGTAGGAATATTAAAGATAAAAATCAATGGAGACACATTTCATGTTCATGAATTGAAAGACTTAATATTTATTTTCGAGATGGCAATTCCCTCCAATTGATCTATAAGTTCAATGCAGTCTGTATAACCCCTTCGTTATTTCCTACTGAAAAATTAAACTCAAAATCTACAGAAAGAGTTTTTCTCCCCCAGTTCTTTTCTTCTCAGTTCTAGTGAGAGGATTTCTCATGGCCTGGTGAAGTCTAAGCTCCTCCTTCAGCAGCTACAGCTGACTTAGCTCCCTATCAACTCAAAGATGCTTAATTCAATGAATATTTTCTCATTTGACATGTCCAGGGTATAATGGGTCAAATGGACTTATAAAATTACTTTAGTACCAGCTTCAGGAGAGCAGACTGAGAACTTATAAGTACTCTAGAACAAGACATGTCTGTTACAGCAGCTTGTGCATCCCTTATGCACTGTGAGTCTCAAGACAAGGCAGCATTTTCAGCACCCACTTATCCTTAAAACCCATGACTCGTCAGACAATAGTAACAGCAGTTCAAAGCTATCCAGGAAAGACTGAGGGACAAGAATTGGGAGGAAGCAGGGATAGAAAAAGACAAAAAGGAGACAAAAATTGAAAACAATCTTGATTACAGCTTTACCAAGATGCTGGTAAGGTTAAAACGCACTTGAGAGAAATATCCCAGTAAGAGGTTAATTGTGACACTCTCCTTCTACATTCTGGGAAAAAAAATTGTAAACCGCTCTCTTTTTCGAAGCGTCGCACGTAAAGCATGCTGTCTTTGGGAGAGAGGAGAGTGCCGGCTACAAGAGCTCGTGGAAACATGTCAGGTTGCTGCAGGTCGTAGGCACTCAGATTCTTGTCTATAAAATGGGATTCTTCTGTGCTATAGGGACCTGTTCTGCTGCTGGGGCCCATTTCATCTACACCTTGCCGCCAAATAGAGTCCCCTGATCTGCCACAGAGCCTCCCAAGTCTGTGCAGTGAGGCGAAGGAAGCTTTTAATTTCTTGTAAGCTTGGTCTTCCTTTATTACAATTTAGAAGAGGCCACAGCAACAGGGAGGAGACCAAAGGTGAAACAACAAACATTAGTGTGAAATCTCATTCCTATTTCTAATGCAAAAGAAATCAAGGGAGAAAACAGGATCATAAGAGGGAAATATTATAAGAAAAAGTAAATGTTGTTAAAAGCCATAAAATTCATTTCTGAAGTGAGAAACAGGGACGGGGAGACAGAGAGCCCCTGCTCACCAGGCCGCATGGAATCTACCAGAACACTTTGCTTTCCTATTCGGAGAATGAAACCCAACATTGATTTGAGAATTTCCCACACTAACAATGAGACTATTCTGTCAGAAAAAGTGAGGGTGTAGTTACATGTGCCTCCCCTTATCCAATACCATTTTTTGTAATAAACTATATAAGACCCCAAAATAGAACACTAAGATATCACCCACAATTATTTTGTACCACAAGTATTAGACTTGAGGTTATTATTCAGTTCCTAATATTCTTTTGTGATTGATATCTTGAAAATCAAAGAGAATGTTACTTTTTAAATGTTTGAATTTGTCCAACAAGTAATTATTGAGCACATGCTCAACTGAGTACCAGACAGTGAGTGATGGACGCAAAATAGTAAGCAGAAACTCAGACAGACGGGATGCCCTGCCCTCATGGAGTTTACTGTCTAAACTCTTCAACCAGCTCTAATGTTTAAAACTAAACTCAACAGTTTACGTTTCTGTCCTAGAGGTTCAGATAGATGGAAATTCACTTGCATTGTGTTTTATTGTTTTTGTTATTTGTTTTCAAATTTACTTTCAAATGGATACAAGTCATTATAAATGTTATTTATAGAAAAACGCCTCATGAAAGTCGGTTGTAAAACTTATGCTTTGAAAGGAACATTGGTCAGAAACGCTAACTTCAAATGTGTGACCTGCAGAGCTCTCCAGGGCCTGTTCGCCTGCTAGGATGCCTTCTTGCCTCCATTCACGTGCAGCAGAAGAAGACCAAAATCAGGGAGAAATGGTAGACCAAATATTTGTTGTTTCTTAGATATGTAAAAAAATTTTACTCTAAAATTCGTCTACATCAAATTAGCAACTGCTTTTTCTGGAATGATACCTACTTTGTTCTTTCTGATACAGCAATTAAGCTGATAGCATTTTTAAATGTTTAATTCCAAGGCAGTATGTCTGTTTTTATTTTGTTTTATTTTTGTAGGATTGCTTTTAGGTTGTGGGTGTGGAAAAATCTTTATTTCCACATGAATGAGAAAATCTCATTAAAACCACAAAAGCAAGGGGTTACTAAATTGACATTGTCTTGTAGGAGAGGAGCAGAGAACTGGCTGGGTGTTTGTTGGTTTCTTTCTTTTTTCTTCTTGAGGAAGATTAGCCCTGAGCTAACATCTGCCACCAATCCTCCTCTTTTTGCTGAGCAAGATTGGCCCTGAGCTAATATCCATGCCCATCTTCCTCTATTTTATATGTGGGATGCCTGCCACAGCATGGCTTGATAAGCAGTGTGTAGGTCCGCACCCAGGATCTGAACAGGTGAACCCTGGACCACAGAAGCAGAACATGTGAACTTAACCACTGTGTCACAGAGCTAGCCCATGTTAGTTTGTTTTTACGAGAAAGATAAACAACCAAGACATCCATGGTTATGTTTAAGAACAGAAATTAAAAGATTTTTTAATCAGACTAATAAAGACACAAGAAGTGAAAAGGAGAAAGAAAAATGAGAATGAAATGAGAAAAGGGGAATGAAAAAAGTCAAATAGATGAACATACAGGAAGATAAGGGAGAAGTGAGTGCTCTGACGATCACGGCACCCAGAATGTCAGAGATACAGCTACAAACATATGGGTGTAAAGGAAGACCCTCAAACACGTCAAAACCAACCCACGGAGAGCCATGAAGAAAAAACAAATGTACACACACAGACATGCACTCAAACGTACAAGGAAATATTAAGAAAAAGCCCTAAAGACTGATGCAGACACATATAGTCAGATGTAGAGACATAATACTTTGCTAATTTAGGAATTAAATAGCACATGGATTCTTAGTACTGCTATGCTATTATATTTATACTTTAAATACTGTTAGAACATTATTTACATTTTTTCTAAGAAAAATATACAGACCTTTGAATAAAATTGTTTCTAGGACAGGTTCTGCTAAAAGTTGTCCTTATAAGGAAGCTTACGACACTGCTAAGGGCAAATCCTGATGGCTTTTGGGAGCTGTGATGTGTTGGTGGAGATCAGTTTCTTGATAGAAGGTGAGAACTGCTGTCTGTCTGTAAAAGAAAAACAATTTTAAAGTACTGAATATATGAAATAAAGTGATACCAACTAAGTAGAAACTTTGAATGTAGCAAGACAACTGCTGTTGTCGATGCAGACAGTGTGCCTGGGGAGTTATGGTGGCACTAGGTGAACTCCGTGGAGGGGCTCCCCATATACACTCATATCTCCAACACTGGAAGAAGGAACCAGGACGTGGACACGACGACTTTGGGCATAATCATAAAAAGGGCTATTTCCCACTGATTAAGGATAGAAGTTTTGGAGAAATAAAGAACAGTGTGCAAATCAGGTGCATCTAATGCTAAGGAAGAAAGTGAAACAAGGAGCTAAGACGTCTTCTGAGACAAGAGGAGGAAAAAGGACATGTTCAATGAGATAAGTTCTAAATGTACCCTGCACGAAGAGAATATGCGTTCTCTTTAAATATATTTCCTAGTGTTTAAATTTGAGGGTTTTAATAATAATTTTTATTCAAAATTTTTAACCTTTATGTCAGACGTTTTGCATATGACTTTGTGCTTTCTCCAACTTCTATTACATACGTTGCGCCCTATATAAATCAAGAAGAGATCATTTCAGATCGGACCAAACATTTCTTTCGTTGGCCCCTACCAAATCATGCTGTAGTCTTCTTAATTCATCCTTTCGTATCTGTCATATACTCACATGTCGTAACCCAAGGACGCAGCCCTGGGTCTGGGCACTGAATATGACTTAAATATAGGTCTTACTTCTCCAGGATTTTGCACTTCACTCTCCCTCTAAATTATCTTAGGTTGCCCTCATAAAAGAATCTTCTCCTGATTAATTTTTGCTGTAGAGTTTTTATGAATGTTTATCCCCACTTGTTTCATAATAAATAATGAAAATATAGCTTATTATTAATCATTGAGCATGTAAGTTTTATAAATCTCATTTCAAACACCTTTTTTGAGGAAATGTCCAGTGCTTTAACTTTTGTGCAGAAGTGGTATACAGATTTCACATCACATGACAGCTGACTCATTAGTCATGGCTGCCTGAAATGCTGTGTTGAGAAAGATTTTGGCTAATCAGCTGCCAAGGACTATTAGGAAGGCCTGCCTTGGGCGCGGGAAGGACAGAGTGGTAGCGTGGGCAGGAGAGGCCAGCCATCCAGTCTTATTGGTAAGTGACGACCCGACAGAAGATGAAAGGGTGTAGCAGTATTAAGCTAACCATTTATTAACCAACAATCATATTTTTTGAAACTTAATAAAACATCCCCACTAGTTAGAGAAGTGAGATGTCTCTCCATGAAAGTGCCTAATTCGAGGTGGAAGCTGCCAAGCGTGAGTTTTATGTTGGTGATGTTCTAAGGTGGATTGATCGCTCCAGTCCCTGGCTGCACGTTAGCCCTGCCTAGGAAGATATTAAAAGACACTAATGCCCAAGCCCCATCTCAGACTAATAAACTCTGAATTCCTCTGGGAGGGGCCCGGGCATGACCAGCATGTCTTAATTCCTTCCCAGGTGATTCTGATGCAGTGGGAGTGGGAGCGCATTGGGTTCCCTCCACCTTGATTCTGCGTGACCCCTGTAGAGCCTTCTGGACCTCAGAACAGCCTTTCAGCTGCTTGAAAAAGAATCTCAAACAGGACTTTAAAGGACAGACTTGACACTTCAACAAAAGAATTTTGTTGATGTTTGTTTTGTTATTGGGATTTATAAACGTTCTCTTTGCCATTAAGTTTTCTCCATATTCAAGAGAAAAAAATTTAAAACACAAATAAACAATAATAATGAGCCAAATGGCTAATATTAAATAACATTAATCTTAGAATTTTACTTCCTTTCCTCTCACCTGCCCTTGTTAACTAAGGCTAATTGTAACTAGTAGAATTGGATTTTATGCTGGGCTAAATGTTGCAGAAGAGTAGAGGATAAAGGTGCAGAAATGGGCATTCGTGTGTGCGCACACATGCACTCACACACGCACACACACAGGGACCTTCAGTTCCCTGGAGAGATTTGGATGTTGTCAGTGGTAGCATAATGACAGTCCTAAGTATTAAAATTCCTCTTCTGTGCAGAGTGCTTTTACAGTGAGCGCCGACAGGCACGCATATGTTAACTGCACCATGGACTTTTCCTTTTCTTTTAAAATGAAATTCTTGGGCCACCCCAGTGGCACGTACCCTCTCACATGTTCCAAAGGAATTACCAATAAATTCTAGTTTCGTAAGAATTCTAATGCCCTAAAGATAAATTTCATTATTCAGTTTGGTCAAGAGATTTCCTTACACCTACCTACGACTACAAAATCTACTACGGGGTCAATTTCTCAAATTTTAAAAAACATAATCATATTTTCACCAATTCTGAAATTCTTAACTGTATCACAAAGACGCTGTGATTAAATATTGTTAATTTGAAAATATTTCCCACATTTTCTTTTAGGTCTCAAGGAGGGCTAATCCTTGATGTTTAAGAAATAATTTCAAATGGTCTATTCTACCATGCATGTGTAAATATACACTTGTTTTAGCAGTACAAGTTGAAATGTTGCACGGTCTAACATGGGCCTCCGTGGATCATTAAAAATGTCACCTAGACAAGAGCTATAGAAAAGAAAAAGGGCTCTTTTATGTGTTTCAGGAAGAAGAACTAGGATTACTGGGTGACAGCTACATGGAAGCAAATTTGAGGTCAATATAAATAGAACGAACAAGGGCAGCTGACTACAAATGGGCCACCTTGTTCAGCATGCCTCTTCCACTTGTGGTTGGTTCTCGGTATGTCCAATCTGGGAATTCACCATCTTTGAAAATAAAGCTACAAATGGACGGTGATATAAAGCTGAGAAGCTCCCAGTCTGCTCCCCATCCCACAGAGAGAGTGTCAAATACTCATTCTCAGATCCAACCAAGCACTAGCCCAAGCAGAAGCCCTTTTGTTTCTCCAAAGGACATGCTGCCCTCCTAACCGCCAAGGAGAGATAATTAAATATTTGAATTTTTAAATGCTTACCCTTCCAGCTCTCAGGCAACCTTCTGTTGGGGCCAGATAACCAAGGAGAAAGTACGTGCTCAAATCTTTATCTCAGGGCACAGAGGCAGTGAAAAAGACCAAACATTAAAATACCAACAAATGTGGCTATTTATTGTGTAAATAAACTAAATTGCCTCCCTAGTTTTCTGTCATCACATTATTCCCTGTGCTTCAGTGAGTGAAGCATATAAATTAAGGGCAGGTCTCTTTTAGTTAAAAAAAAATATATATATATATATATATATATATATACACATATAATATAATCTATGTCTAGTAATCCTAAATAATGCCACTTAGTTTTGATCCTGTTTACAAGAAAAAAAATTTTGTTTGATGTAAAGGGCACTGAATAATTTACGAAATATTTAATAATACAGAAACCTGGGGAGAATTCAGAAAGCCACACATGGGACTGTAATGTATGTTCATACCTTACCATTCCATATGAGCCCATACACTGAAAACTGTTAGCACGGGCAATTAAAAAGGAGAAATGCTGCCTAATTTAGAAACTAAGCAAACAAGAAAAGTTGCTCTTACTGTGAGTGACAGAATAACAGCTTTTTAATCAAGCAATTTGAATTGCAAGAACTTTTCTTGAAAAAAACTAATGGGTTAGGATTTACAGTTATGTTGTCTTAAACTGAGCATCATTCCCTCTATGCACAGAAGCTGCTGACAAGGAGTCAATGTATTAAGGATGATAGATGGCTATGATTCAGTGATACAGTATAGCAAGTGTCTTGGGAGCAAAGACCTTGTAGAAGTATAATAATTTCCAGCAAACTCAAAGCTGTAACAATGTATTATTGGTCTCTCCCTGTCTCTTAATTTTAATGCTACCTTGATGTGTTTATCTGAGGTTTGAGAATGCTATTGGGTCTCCTTTTGTCATCTATGTGCTGAACTCAGGCCCATGAATCTATAGGGAATAATTTGATTCACTAGGAAGATACAAAAGCTGTACACAAAGAGCAACTGCAAGTGACGTTTCCTTGCCCCTCTCATTTCCATTGCTCTGTGACTGGCTGCAGCCTCCACCATCTCACTTTGTGTAAACCTTCCAGAGAGCAGCAAGGCCAAGCTCAGCTTCTGCCTTTCAAACCTGGGCCTAGACTCTTGTTGGGTCCTCTCGATGGAACTGAAGTTCTGATGGGAAAATATTACCCTCTCAGGTTGTCACACGTGCCAAAGCGATTCAGTTCAGGTTGTAGGGACAAAGGAAACATACCTCCAGAATCTGGCTTTAGGACTTGTAAAGCGGGCTGTATACATTAATGCATCACTTGAAGTCAGATGAACTTTGCAAGGAATTATACCCAGAGTGCCTCACAGGTCTATGAGGATTTAATGAGATTACGTATTTAAATTGAACAGCTTAAAGTTTGACACAGATGATATGGAACAAATATTGCTTTATCAGTACCTTTCCCACTCCTTCCCTACTTTCAATATTTCATTTAAAGATCACAGTACTCTTATTTAGGTAGTATTATTCTCAATTTACAAATGGGAAAATGGAAATTCAGAGAGGTTAAAGAAAATTTCCTCAAATCATACCATGATGAACATCAGAATCAGTTCTTACCCAAGCCCCTCTGATTGCACCACACCACTATATTTCTAATAAAATGTGACACCATATTCATTGTGTTCATCCTTCAGAGTCCTTCACAAAAAACAGAGAAACAGGGGGCAGTCAGGTGGCATAGTGGTTAGGTTCCCGTACTCCCTCGGCAGCCCAGGGTTCTTGGGTTTGGATCGAGGGCACAGACCTACACACCGCTCATCAAGCAAAAAGAGGAGGATTGGCAATGGATGTTAGCTGAGGGCCAATCTTCCTCACCAAAAAAAAAATAAATAAATAAATAGGAAAATAAAAGAGCAGGGAAACACCCTCACATGACACTGAACTCCTACTGTATCAGTACCTTGAGCTCATCTTCAGTATCAATTTTCTCTTTATAATCTGGACTAA